ATTCCACAATTTTTAATGCGTTATTGTATAAAATATAGTTTATTTTATACAACAAAATAAATACAATGCGTTATTGTATAAAATATAGTTTATTTTATACAATAACGAAATGATGAAATATTTCTAGCCATTTCTTCTCTGTTGAGATTTTTACTGATGCCCAAGACTTAACCTTTTCCTTATCAATATATTTTCTTAATAATGGTACTTCATTAAAAAGATCATTTTCGGAAATATTGCTATCTGGAAAATGTTGACTAATGTGATTGAATGATTTTTGCACATCTTCCCAATTAAGTTCTTCTTTTAACATAACCCAATGAAAATGTTCAATATCATTGCAATGTCCCAGCAAAGAATGCCCATTGTTCACACACACAGCCCTCAGGATCACGTTCCTCTCTTTTGTTCTAAAGGGATTAAAACTTTTAGTGATTTTAAACTAAAATTTTAATTATATAATTATTTTGTAAGATAATTTTCAGAGGTGTCAGTTGCCAATGATTAGAATAAATTTCGTAAGCATTGCCTATCTTGATTAAGTCGTTAAACAATTAGCGCTTTAGACGCGTTTTGTTAAAACTGCATAAATTTGTCATTTAGCTTATTATAATAAAACTTTATCACCTTGTCATAAAATAGCTATTTTTTCCATCACATATATTTAATAGTAATATGATATTTTACAGAATGTATTTCTAATTGAGTAATTCATTAGTGCTGTCCACAAATGAAGTCCAGACTGGAAGGGAGGGAGAGAGGAGGTTATGAGAAATCTGACAAAGTCAGACGGTTCAGGGGGCAAATGAGTGATTGAACTTCAACAGACGTCCGTTTTATTTTAATAAATTTTATACAATCGCCGCATTTCATTATTCATATAGTGATAACGCTTTTTTCGAATTAATTCAGTTTTCTTGGAAGTCGGAAAAAGGAAGGATGTTAATATTTGGAAAAACTGCAGACGGCATTTATGAAAAGCCCTAATGAATTGCCAGTTAAAAATACATTCTGTAAAATATCATATTAGTAATAATAAATATTTGTGAAAATATTTATCTAAAACTTTTTCTCTCTTATCTAACATCATCTTAGTCACCATTACTGTCTTTCACAGGAATTGTATCTAAATTTAATGCTTTGCTTAACTATTTGAGAACCAATTAAATGTATAAAGAATTCAACTTGCCCTGCTGACATTCTGAAAAATTTCTACAGGGTGACAATAATTAACCTATACAAGTTTTTTGCATTGTAAATTTATTAAAGAAATGAAAATTAGCAAAACAACAGCAGATAGCAGTGACAATACTTTACGTATTAATCAGATATTCAGTTGGTTTTAAAGTGGCCTTTTTTTGCTTTGATGCAGAGCCCCAAACATGTTTCTAAATTTTTGGCAATGGGCCTCAGCTCTTCTGGAGACAGTTTGTCCCACTCCCGGCACAAGGATTGCTTCACTGACTCCAAACTTTTGTGGTGCTTAGCACAGGCCCTAGCCTCCAAAATGGACCACACACTGTAGTCCATCTGGTTCAGATCCGGTGAGTACGGTGGCCATTCTGCAGACGAGCTGAAATCAGGAAAATGAGCCTTGCATCACTCCTGAGTCTTCTTCACCCTGTGTGCTGGCGCTGAGTCCTGCTGAAACTTCCAAAATGCTGCTGAGCCCACGGAAGTATCATGGCCTCGAGAATGTCACGGCGGTACACGTTTTGATTGATTTTGGCCCCTTAATTAACAAAAACAAAGGGTGTCTTGCCACTTGCACAAATTCCGGCCCAAACATTGGATTTTTGCGATGTTCAATGACAACTGAGCATCAGGGAGCCTCTGTGGACCAGTTCTTGTCATTTTGATGGTTGTGCACCTGTTGTACAGAGAAAAGCTTCCTGTCTGTGAAGAGAGTGCGCTCCCATTGTTGACCTGCGGCCTGATGCTTGAGTTGACGGCATCTTTGGAGTCGCATGTACTTGTTTTCATCGATGAGGAGCTGAAACTTTTGGAACTTGTAGGGTTTGAGTCCAAGTTCTTTTTTCGCCATTAACTGCATCGATTCATGATTGATTCTGATCTCACAAGCAATTTTTCTCATGGAGATCTTCGCATGTCAGTCAACTCGTTTTTTGATGATCTTGCGATTCCTAGACATGTTGATGGTGTGCTTTCTTCCACATCTGGGATGGTCACCATCATGGCCAAGCTTCTTGAATCGCTGAACTGCATCCAAGACTGTCATTTTGGGAACACTGAACAAACAAACAATTTCACATTGATGCTTTCCTTGCCGGAATAGGTCCAAAATTGCCCAACATTTGTTCGACATCCTTAAAAAAATAAAGAACTAACCCTTATTACCTGAAAGCACATCTACAGGAAATCACGAAGAATTAAAGGACAGTATGTAAATTGGTGACGGTAAAAAGTTCAGGTGCAGCATTGCTACAAACTTTGTATGGTTAATTATTGTCACCCTGTATATTTTTGAACATATATGTGCAGTTCATTTATTAATGATGAACAAATTTCAGTTTTATCAGGACATATTTTATCATGTCTTCATCAGAGAAAGTTTTGCATGAGGCAACCATTGCTTCACAAAAAACTTTTTCTGGTGAGGATGGATTTTGTTTTAAAATTGTGTACATAATAATAATAGCCATACTATGTTGATCTGTTATCATCAGCTGAATCAATAATAGTCATTGACTAAACAACTTTGAAGGTTACTGTTGTAATCTCAGCAGAACTAGTGAATAAAACAACTCTTTAATGGACACACCACCTGAGAAACTTACAAGAATTACAGTGCTCTCAGATTGACATCCTCAGAACAAAATGGCAAACTTTCAATGGAAGTCACATTCAAAATAGAACAAAGAGGATTTTATGAAAAGAATAAAATCTGAGGAGAAAAATGTTCATGTGTAGAGACCTTGGTGCAAGACTAGATACAGCAATATAATATTTTATAGTGTCTGAGACACTATAAAATATTATATTGCTGTATCTAGTCTTGAAGAATGGATAATTTATGGTATCTGAAAAGTAACCCAAATAACTCCTGACTTCAGCACAATGCCTTCTATATTTACATCAGAAGGTGACTGTTTCGGTTGGATCCAATTGCAAATATTCCAGACAACTAAACTTTGCTGAGATACTGTGATGGATTTAAGAATCTAAACCACAAACTAAAGCAGATATACAAAAAGGGAGAAAATGTTATAGTAATAATGTTAGTTTTTAGAAAATTGATTTAATGAATAATAAATTTTTTGTGATACTTTTACAAAATGTTTCCTAAAATATAATGCATGAAATTAGTTTTGAAGAAATATTGGGTAAAAATCTTATTGTCTTCTGTAATGAAATAAATTGAATATTTCTCTACTACAAGGGAAAATTTTTTTTAATATTTAACTATAATAATATATATTAATAAATTAGCATGTATGATAGTTATAAATTTGTGATTATTATTTTAGATTGATAGGCAACTTTCAGTATATATGAAGAGAGTAGAAGATGTTCTTGGTAAAGGTTGGGAAAATCATGTTGAAGGCCAAAAGTTAAAAGCTGATGCTGATAGTTTTCGACTTAAACTTAATACACAAAGCATATTTGATGATTGGGCAAGAATGGTAAGCTTTAAATCAAATATTTAGTAATGTTTATGAAATTTGTTTTCAGAATGACGTTTTTCTTCAATTATTATAAAAAATATAAATTTTAAATATTTGAAAATTTTACGAAAAGAACTATTTTTGTATCTAATTAAAAATTTATCAATAAGTTCATAAAAAATTACATATGTAGACTCTCATAGCAATGTGTATATTTATATATGATAGGTTCAACAAAGACAACTTGGTGTGTCTGGTCGCATTTTTGCTATTGACAGTACACGTTCTCGTACTGGCAAAGGCAATATATTGAAACTAAGAGTGAACTTTTTGCCAGAGATTATAACTCTCTCAAAAGAAGTAAGTTTGTTTCCATTTAAATTTGAAATAAATTTTAATAAAATGTATTTAATTAATTGATAGTAAAAATTGACAGATTAAACATTATTTTATTAAAACAGGTTCGGAATCTTCGTTGGCTTGGTTTTCGTGTGCCACTTGCAATTATCAATAAAGCTCATCAGGCTAATCAATTGTATCCCTTTGCAATTTCATTGATAGAAAGTGTAAGAACATATGAAAGAACATGTGAAAAGGTTAGAATTTTTCTATTTGTTTAAATTGAAAACATTTTTTTTTAATCAGTAATTTTTTCTTTTTATGAATTTTAAATAATTGTGCTAATTTTAAGTTTTAATTTTTTAAACTAGCNTAATAATAATTTAGTAACATAAATTTATTCATAGCAAAATGTACTCGCGGGCCATAAAAATTATTTGGCGGGCCGTATACGGCCCGTGGGCCGCCAGTTGGACAGCGCTGACTTTAATCATAATTTTAAAAACAAAGTAAAAATTCAATACTAATTTTTACTAGAAGTAATAAAAAATCTTACATTATATCATTTTTAATCAGATGACTGTAACAAAAACCATGTGGTGTATACTGATTTTATAAGTGAAATTGGAGATTCATAATGAAAATTTGATGATTTTTTTAAAATATTTTTTCCAATTTAATTTCAAATTTAAAACTCAATACAATTTTTGAATTTAGCTGGTAAATACAATGTCAAATTTTCAATAGTTGGGAATCAAGTAATAATATATGTTTGAGGAAGAAATATAAAACTAAAGCATTGTTATTGAAATTTAACATTATACTTGTGAAACATATCAGTTAAAATTAAAGATTGTGTAAAGTTCAATGTAAAATGAAGTTTTATTATTATATTAAATAAAAAAGTTCAGTGCATTATACTTGTGTATTTTAAAAGTTATAAAAAAAAAAGTATCTATAGAATCATATTTACTTTAAAACTTAGTTTTTAAAACAAATGTATATTTAGTTTTAATGTTAATGCTTTTTTTTAAGGTAATGAATGCTTGTTTTGATGTATTTACTACATGGGATGATGAATATGATAAATTACAAGGCTTGCTTAGAGATATTGTTAAAAAGAAGCGAGATGAACATCTGAAAATGGTTTGGAGAGTAAGTCCTGCTCATAAACGATTGCAGGCTCGCATGGAACAAATGAGAAAGTAAGCACTTTATTCTTAATTTGAATTATTCATCTCCATTTTGTTTTTACATTTCTAAATATACAGAGATCAACAGTTCATTCATTATATGAATGTATTTTTGTACTTAAAATATTTTTTAGATAATTAAAAGTAAATTAAACTTCTTATTTGCAAAATAAAGTGTCCTAATATAAATGTTCTAAATATTTTAAAAGTTCATATTCCAAGAAAAACAAAAATGCGAAGTTCAATTCTTACATAACAATTTGTATTGACATCAAAAATTACATTACTTTAAACTGTTTTAGCAGTTATAATGTTGATCTAATTATTGAAATTAATTTTTCCCACTAAATAAGTTTTCTGTAAGATTATTATTAAAAATATTTAAAAGCTTTTTCTGGCTGTTTTTGTCATTAGTTTAATAATGTAAGTAGTATAATGTAAACTGTCATTGATCATAATTATGCAATTGGACATTTTTGTGTTGTTTGACTAAAGATTCACATAAAACATTAAAAAATTGTGCTACTTTTTTAAAAATAAAATCATTTTTCTGCTGGAATTTTTATTAATCTGTTGAAAATTTTAATATATTACTGCAAACTTTTCTTGATAAGTAAGGACTGAATTTGTATGCACATGCATGTATTATTTCTTAAATGCTATGATATGGAAACTTTGGTGTAAAGATAGATCATTAAAATTATTCCTTAATTGACTAAATAGTAAAGAAAATAAAAAGTATAAAATAATGCTTTTCATATGAAAATTTTCCATTATTCTAAAATAAGTAAGATAATCTATTTTAAAATTTCTGATTTAAAAAGTTGTGCAAATCATCACATCTCATAATCAGCAGAAAGGTAAGAAATTTACAGAATAAATTTATTCTGATATTTTATCAATTATCATTGCAAGTAATTTTGAAGTTCAAGGATGTCTGAATTTATTAAATTTATATTGGCTATACTGTAACTTTGGAATTATTGAATATAGTTTATTTAATAATTATGGTTGAATTATTGAATAAACTATATTCAATAATTTTAATTTTTGCATAATACATATTTATGTAATATAATAATTGGTTTAAATAATATATATTCAAATTAAAACTGTGGTTTTTACCTTTTTTAGCTTGCCAACCCTTCCTCTGCTGACTTAAAATAGAAATAAAGAAAAAATAAAATGGGATGAATAAAACCAGAATTAATATTCTATTTTTACTTAATATAAATCAAATTTTGTATATTTTTAAATATAATAGAAGTAAATTTGTATACCAACACTCAAGCAACATTTAATAATTCATTCATTTGTCATATAACTTGATTGACTCTAGCAATCATATTGAGCACTCTTGCATTATAACATATTTTATTATTTTAATATGAATAAAATTATATTGGATTTAAGTAGAAACAATTTAGTATTGATATTATTATTACTTTGTGACAGATTTCGCCGTCAACATGAACAGTTGAGAACTGTTATATTAAGAGTTTTACGACCTGCAGTAATACCTAGACCACCACAATCAGGCCAAAATGAAGAACAACAAGAACAAAAAACAGAATCGGGTGCTTTTGATGCAGCTGATGTAAATGCTAGTGAGGTAATTATGATTGACACTTAAAATGTATTCAGAGATGCTAATGAATCCAAATGTAAAAATTGACTGTTTTATTAACTACTATTAATTACCTCTATTAGCTAAATTTATAAAATTTATTGTAGGAAGTAAATTTGGCTTATGAAAATGTGAAAGAAGTTGATGGATTAGATATTTCCAAAGAAGGAACTGAAGCCTGGGAAGCAGCAATTAAAAGGTACTAAACTGTAAGAAATATATATAAAAATATATATTTTTATACATTTCTTAAAGCATTTTAAAATAAAAAAATTTAATATATTAAATTATTTTATTTTAAAATGCTTCACTGATTTAGGGATAATTTTTAAAATCTATTATCTCTTAAAAATTGTATTTTCATTATTTAAGTTTCAAATGTTTACTGTTAATACAGACTCTGTGTGTGTGTGTGTGTGTGTGTAGTCTGTATTAAATTTTTTCAAGTAGACTTAGTATATCTTTATGACAAAATTACTGGAAATTTTTGTTTTGTTATTTGTTTGTCTAGAAAATTAATTAAAGCTTGAAAATTTTATTTATTAACTGAAATATTTGAATTGTTTCAATTGTTAAGTTACTATTGAATTGTTTCAAGTTCCATTCCTATTTTTTGAAAATGTAACATGAATTATGCTATCTTTTCAGATATGAAGAGCGTATTGATCGTGTGGAAACACGTATAACAGCACGTCTTAGAGATCAATTAGGGACAGCCAAAAATGCTAATGAGATGTTTAGAATATTTTCACGTTTTAATGCTCTGTTTGTAAGACCTCATATCAGGGGAGCTATACGTGAATATCAAACACAGTTAATTCAAAGAGTTAAAGATGATATTGAAGCACTTCATGAAAAATTTAAAGTTCAATATCCACAAAGTAAAGCATGGCGTATGAGCAAAGTTCGTGATCTTCCACCAGTATCTGGTTCCATTATTTGGGCAAAACAGGTATTAAAATATTTTTATTGAAAAGATTTTATTAATATGATGCTATTATATTTTCTTGCAAATAATATTTGAAATTGTCTAGAAGACATAATAATTACTAACATGTGATTAATATTAATTTAGTTAGTAAAAAAATGTTGAAATTAAAAAAATTACAATGTTATGATGTTTTTTAATTAATGGCTTCAAAATAATAATTTTTTTTATTAGAATTGTTAAGTTAATAGTTTTTCAGTTTTGTTTCAGTCATCTAAGCATTTATCTAGATAAAAAATTTATAAATAAATAAATTTTACCTTTAAAAGTTTGTCTTTCAAATAGGTACCGTACATTTATAAATAATCTATTTACCATGTTAATAGAATTAATATACTAATAGTTTTCCTGTAAAATATCATATTAGTAATAATAAATATTTGTGAAAATATTTATCTAAAACTTTTTCTCTCTTATCTAACATCATCTTAGTCACCATTACTGTCTTTCACAGGAATTGTATCTAAATTTAATGCTTTGCTTAACTATTTGAGAACCAATTAAATGTATAAAGAATTCAACTTGCCCTGCTGACATTCTGAAAAATTTCTACAGGGTGACAATAATTAACCTATACAAGTTTTTTGCATTGTAAATTTATTAAAGAAATGAAAATTAGCAAAACAACAGCAGATAGCAGTGACAATACTTTACGTATTAATCAGATATTCAGTTGGTTTTAAAGTGGCCTTTTTTTGCTTTGATGCAGAGCCCCAAACATGTTTCTAAATTTTTGGCAATGGGCCTCAGCTCTTCTGGAGACAGTTTGTCCCACTCCCGGCACAAGGATTGCTTCACTGACTCCAAACTTTTGTGGTGCTTAGCACAGGCCCTAGCCTCCAAAATGGACCACACACTGTAGTCCATCTGGTTCAGATCCGGTGAGTACGGTGGCCATTCTGCAGACGAGCTGAAATCAGGAAAATGAGCCTTGCATCACTCCTGAGTCTTCTTCACCCTGTGTGCTGGCGCTGAGTCCTGCTGAAACTTCCAAAATGCTGCTGAGCCCACGGAAGTATCATGGCCTCGAGAATGTCACGGCGGTACACGTTTTGATTGATTTTGGCCCCTTAATTAACAAAAACAAAGGGTGTCTTGCCACTTGCACAAATTCCGGCCCAAACATTGGATTTTTGCGATGTTCAATGACAACTGAGCATCAGGGAGCCTCTGTGGACCAGTTCTTGTCATTTTGATGGTTGTGCACCTGTTGTACAGAGAAAAGCTTCCTGTCTGTGAAGAGAGTGCGCTCCCATTGTTGACCTGCGGCCTGATGCTTGAGTTGACGGCATCTTTGGAGTCGCATGTACTTGTTTTCATCGATGAGGAGCTGAAACTTTTGGAACTTGTAGGGTTTGAGTCCAAGTTCTTTTTTCGCCATTAACTGCATCGATTCATGATTGATTCTGATCTCACAAGCAATTTTTCTCATGGAGATCTTCGCATGTCAGTCAACTCGTTTTTTGATGATCTTGCGATTCCTAGACATGTTGATGGTGTGCTTTCTTCCACATCTGGGATGGTCACCATCATGGCCAAGCTTCTTGAATCGCTGAACTGCATCCAAGACTGTCATTTTGGGAACACTGAACAAACAAACAATTTCACATTGATGCTTTCCTTGCCGGAATAGGTCCAAAATTGCCCAACATTTGTTCGACATCCTTAAAAAAATAAAGAACTAACCCTTATTACCTGAAAGCACATCTACAGGAAATCACGAAGAATTAAAGGACAGTATGTAAATTGGTGACGGTAAAAAGTTCAGGTGCAGCATTGCTACAAACTTTGTATGGTTAATTATTGTCACCCTGTATATTTTTGAACATATATGTGCAGTTCATTTATTAATGATGAACAAATTTCAGTTTTATCAGGACATATTTTATCATGTCTTCATCAGAGAAAGTTTTGCATGAGGCAACCATTGCTTCACAAAAAACTTTTTCTGGTGAGGATGGATTTTGTTTTAAAATTGTGTACATAATAATAATAGCCATACTATGTTGATCTGTTATCATCAGCTGAATCAATAATAGTCATTGACTAAACAACTTTGAAGGTTACTGTTGTAATCTCAGCAGAACTAGTGAATAAAACAACTCTTTAATGGACACACCACCTGAGAAACTTACAAGAATTACAGTGCTCTCAGATTGACATCCTCAGAACAAAATGGCAAACTTTCAATGGAAGTCACATTCAAAATAGAACAAAGAGGATTTTATGAAAAGAATAAAATCTGAGGAGAAAAATGTTCATGTGTAGAGACCTTGGTGCAAGACTAGATACAGCAATATAATATTTTATAGTGTCTGAGACACTATAAAATATTATATTGCTGTATCTAGTCTTGAAGAATGGATAATTTATGGTATCTGAAAAGTAACCCAAATAACTCCTGACTTCAGCACAATGCCTTCTATATTTACATCAGAAGGTGACTGTTTCGGTTGGATCCAATTGCAAATATTCCAGACAACTAAACTTTGCTGAGATACTGTGATGGATTTAAGAATCTAAACCACAAACTAAAGCAGATATACAAAAAGGGAGAAAATGTTATAGTAATAATGTTAGTTTTTAGAAAATTGATTTAATGAATAATAAATTTTTTGTGATACTTTTACAAAATGTTTCCTAAAATATAATGCATGAAATTAGTTTTGAAGAAATATTGGGTAAAAATCTTATTGTCTTCTGTAATGAAATAAATTGAATATTTCTCTACTACAAGGGAAAATTTTTTTTAATATTTAACTATAATAATATATATTAATAAATTAGCATGTATGATAGTTATAAATTTGTGATTATTATTTTAGATTGATAGGCAACTTTCAGTATATATGAAGAGAGTAGAAGATGTTCTTGGTAAAGGTTGGGAAAATCATGTTGAAGGCCAAAAGTTAAAAGCTGATGCTGATAGTTTTCGACTTAAACTTAATACACAAAGCATATTTGATGATTGGGCAAGAATGGTAAGCTTTAAATCAAATATTTAGTAATGTTTATGAAATTTGTTTTCAGAATGACGTTTTTCTTCAATTATTATAAAAAATATAAANCGATTTTATTGTTAGGAATAAAATTTAAAGATCGATACGACGATTTAAACGCTAAAATAAAATTCCTAAATATTAAATTCTTGGTTAACTTTGATTGATTTTTAATCTTCCTTTCGAATTTAATTTTATTAAGAGGAAAATTTAATAAAATTACATTTTATTCTTCTTTTCTTTTTTAAAAAAATTTACGTCTTATCAATACGAAAATAGCACAACTTTTTTTGTATTTTTTAAAATAAATTACCTTAATCGTTTTGGCATTATTTATAATTAAACTATTACAAATATTTTAATAGCTATATATTTTATCGGTTATTATAAACAAAAATCTGTTTTAAAAAGTTCTAAAATTAGCATACTCTTACCAAATATTATATAAAAATAATCGAATTAATGAAACTTTTTTAGAAAGAAGTTTCTTCCTCTTGATGCATTGTAAGTAAATTTAGTTTGACATCAATAATTCTGTTACTTGATGAAAGAAAGTATTAGATATGATAGATTCGAAAGGTTTGATCTTCGAGAATTTTAAATAATCATAAAAATGTTTAAGTTTATTGAATAAGAAAATTTGCGCATTTGTTTCCATTTGTAAATATTATATTAAAATATCTCTATTAGATGAGCTATATTTACAAGAATGTAGGTTTTTAGTTAATGAGGTTATTCTGTTGCATAGTGCAGTTCAGGCACTGCAATATTGTGGAACCTGGATTGTCAATGCCATGTGATAGCATAATCACATTAACTGTGACATTTTCTAATAAATACTGGTGTGCCATCAGTTTTTGTACCTTAATTCTTTCTTCTTGTATTACACATTATTACATTTCAAACTTTACAACACCCTCTATCGGCAATTTTTTAACTATTTTTTTTTCCTCATTCCATTCTTCTTTCTCCTTCTTAAATAATAATTGTACCAATTTTGGTTTTATTTGTGTTATTCCTTGTAGCTACCAACAGCTCCAAATAGAGATGCTTATTTTATGACCACCCAGTACTTTTGAATATGTTTACTTTAATGCATTATTTATGCATAGTTTTTAATAAAGCTATTTTTATTCACTAAAATAGTCCTAAATAGATTGAAACAATTTACGAAAAATTTTTTAATGAATAGTAATATCTTAATATATGCTATGCTTTTTACTTTCATTTGAACTTAGTAATTAATTCTGTTTTATGTAAAACAACTTTTTTAAATTGAGATAACATAGTTTCTCAAATAATAATAGAAAACATACTTTAGTTTGCAAACAAAAAAACAAGTAAACTTTTTGCTTACTTGTAGTTATATATTTTTGAAAGTTTTTTTTAATCAATTAAGAACTCATTAGAATTCATATAATAATTAAACAGCATATTTATACAAAAGTTTTTTCTTATGTTGCTTTAGCTATAGTTTAATTAAATATGGATAAGTAACTAGAATTGCCAGAAAAAAATTAATCTTTAAAGGGAAAAACAGTATTTGAAACAATGGATGTTATTACATTGATTTTATTAGTAAATAGTTAATGTAAATTTTAACCAAATATAACAAATGGATTTGATTAAAATTTGCCAATAGTATTTACTTACTTTATTGAAGAAACGTGAATTCTCTTCTTAAATTCATTACTCACATTCATCAGAAACAAAAACCAACTTTTGATCACAGAGATGACCTTTTATTTGATGCTAAGTTCTGTGAAAATATGCAAAAACCGTTAAATGTCCTCTGGTGTCAATGTCAGAAATTAAAAACAAATAGTTTTATTAAAATTGGTTGTTTATGCATACTTTCAGATGCTCAGCCTCAAATGAAAGATTGTGTTTGTGGTTAAAAATTGTTTTTGTTCCTAGTTGAGTATGAGTGATGGATTAAGAAGGAAATTTGTTTTTCAATATATATATATTTTTAATGAGAAATGGATTGTTCTTATATTGAAACTAACATATGCAGATAATTTTGTTATATTAGTATTATTTGAATTTTTAAATATCATGTGATAGTAACAAGAAAATATTTACTGTTCTTGTAAATAAGCATCTAAGAATATTGAATTTTATTTCTAATGCTAGTATAATCAACTTAGTAGAAACTTTGAAGGTTATTCTACAGAAGAGAAGTTTCTATTGCAGAAGATTTAATTATTAATTCATATTAATAATATTTTGATGAAATGTAACAAAAATATTTAAATTCTATAAGTTTTAAATTTAATATTTTTATTTTATTGAATATTGTGTTCATTATTATCAATGATAAAATCTACACATTGCTACATATAAAATATTATGTTAATAAAAGTTTAGCAATATTTTTAGAATGAAATCAAAATATATAATGTTTTCTTTTTTTAGCTTACAAGGAGCAGTTATCATTATATGTTTGAGGTAGATGTTTAAATATTTATTGCACAGACACTTAATTTCTGCAGCAAGCATAAAATGTGCAATAAGCATTTTAAAATATTGCCTTATCTAGTTTTTTATTTGCAAATATTTTGTATAATAATTGAAATACTTTTAATATGAAAAATGTTCATTTTTGTAACTCATTATTATTTGATATTTTTCTGTAATATACTCTTGGGTAGTTATCCATTACAAAAATGTTTTTGTATGGAAGTGATGAAATATTAATGAAAATAAAGGGTGATTACAGTGTTGACCCATTTTTGTGAAAATGGTAACATAATCATTTTTTTGCAAGTTGTGTAAGCATGTGACCCAAGAAAAAAGTATTTGCTGTGGTTTGTGCATGTTTAAGTGGATTAATATAATGGAAGTACTGTCAAATCCTCCTGCTCCGTAGCCTTCAAGAAATGTAACACCTGGACACACTGTGCACTACTTATGAGTTTGTAATGAAGGGTCTCCTACACTTGGAAGTATGATTGTGGCATAGTAAGCATCCAGCTTAGTCTTCTGGTTGATGACATAAATACTGTATTATTACAGTTTCTACATTTTTAACTATTTCATTTGGTATAGTGGGTCTTGTAGAAAATTTTGCAACATTTACATTACCCATTCATCTGAATTTATAATTAACAATTTTATATTAGTCATCGTAGGAACAAACTTTTTGAATTTCTGGATGAAGTTTGGCTGTACTTTATGTATTTGAATCCATTCAAACATTCACAAACAATAGTGATTCTCTCTTCTTGGATGAACATGTTTCACAAAAATGGATCAAGACTTTGTAATCACCTTATATAATAATGATTGATTACTTAGATAAACATTAGTAAATTTTAAGTAAACATTTATTTTATGTTACTTTATTCAGAAATTTTTGCAATTTTAAATTAAAAATTTGTGTAATTTATATATTTTGCTTATATATTTTACATACTGTTAAGTATCAAGAGACTTCTATATCACCAGAAGAAAATTTTCAATTCTAAGATGCACAAAGAATGCAACACAAAATATTTAAGTTATTGTAAACTAGAATTTTTCAGTATTTCACATCTTTTCAAACTAGCTCAGGCCAAATTTCGGCCAGAAGCAATACATTTTTCACATTTTATGGACATTTGAAGCAAGCATTATAGCACTTTCCATATAAACAGAAAAAAAGAGTTCTGTACAGTGATAGAACATTTTTATTTTAAAAAAGTGGACAGTTACCCAGATAAAAACGAAGATGGATGAAGTTCTTGGGTATTTTGCATCAGCATTGAAGACTGTTTATTTCTGGATAAATTTGTTTAAATGTGGCTGAACATGCACTGAAGGTGAAGTGCACCCTGAATGTCTAGTTGATGTAACAACAACAGAAATCATTGAAAAAGTTCATGGTATTATTATGGAAGACTGCTGACTAAAAGTGCATAAGATTGCTGAGACTGTAGGTATCAGCTGATTGAGTGTATAGCATCCTGCATAAAAAATTGCAGATGAAAAAGCTGTGTACACAATGGGTATTGCAATTGTTGACTGATGACTACACTTTGCAGGATATTTTGCGTCAATTCATGACTGTGAGTGAAACATTCTATTCACCAATATACACCTGAGGCAAAAGTCAAAGCAGTGAACAGTGAGTGGTGAAAGTGTACTGAAAAAGACAAAGACTGTTCTGTTAGCTGGGAAAGCAATGGCCAGTGTTTTCTGGGGTCCCAAGGAATCATCCTGGTCAACTACTTGGAGAAAGGAAAAACAATAACAGGAGTCTATTATGCACATTATTGGACTATTTGAAAGAAGAGTTGAAACAAAAACGGCCAAAGATTGGCACACAAAAAACTGCTCTTTCACCAAGACAATGTGAATTTAAAATTTTGCTTAGTGGGAAGAAATACTTATCAAATAAGGATGTTGTTGCCACTGTCAATGTGTATTTTGCAGACCTTGAGAAAAGCTACTTTTCCAATGGGATTAAAAAATTGATAACTCTCTGGACCAATTGTATAGTCCTCAATGGAGATTATGTTGAAAAATAAATTGATTTTTTCCAAAAAACTGTGTTTAACTTGACTTTTTCACCATACTTATCAAATGACTATTGTATAAAGGTAACTAATATTAAATAAAAAAGGATTCTTTTATTGAGCTTAGTAGATAAACCTTGTTTTTTGAATAAACATTAAATTAGTTAACTAAATTTAAATTTGTATTTATTTTTAGTAAATTTATTAAATGGTGGATTTTTTTATGTGCAGGTAGAAGAACGACCTTCTATTATTCTTCTAGTTGCTGGTTTAAAGAAGGAAGTTCAGCAGCTTGTTGCTGAGGTAATTTTTATATGGATATAAAATTTATTAAGTATAGCTGTAATATATAATTAATAATTGTAATTTTCTAGACTATTATACTTAGTTTTGTCATGTAAATTGGTTATTAGAGTTTGTTCTGTAATTTCCAATAAATATAAAGTGTGATTAATATTGTGAAAATTAAATTCTTTATAGGGAATTGGTCAAGTTTGGGAATCATATAAGTTGGATCCATATGTGCAACGTCTTGCTGAAACAGTTTTTAATTTTCAGGAAAAGGTAAAAATCTTTTTTGTAAAAGATTAATATATTCTTATGTAGGGATCTCACTACGATAGTTTTTGCTTTTTTGCAACAACTGGTGTAATTTAGCAACAACTTTTGTCTGCAAATTTGCAAAAAAGAGACAGAAAATTTTACACTTAGACAAACATGATAGTTTCCTGTACAATGATGTGTTTTTGTACATTTTAGAATCACTTCAAAAATGCTTTAATACAGTAGACTGTATTAAAGTTATATTGCACTTGTCAAGAGACAAAGAAAATGCATTATATATTCGGCAGCATGATATAACTGAGTACTAAAAATTCTGGGCTTAAACTAAACAGATTATACATGCTATGGAATCTCTATCCTCCATTCTTTCATCAGCAAGTGTTTCTGATATAAAATAAGCTTAGTTTTGCAATACTGAATTTTATTTGTGGTTACATTGTATTAAATGACATTTATGTAAACATTGATATCATGAATGCCCATTTAGCATTTGTTTCTTTAACATTGACATTTAAAGACAAATGCTGTCCATATAAAAACAAAATATCAGTTGCAATTTTACTATACACTACTATATTTCACAATAAATTGCTTATTAAAAATTCGTGTAATTTATATTTTTCAATAAAAATTATAAATACATTAATTGAAAATTTAAAAAATAAATATTGAACATATAATAGAACATCAAAACTTATAAAATTACAAAAAGTAAAAATTCTTTAAAAAGCAAAATAAAATTACTATGTAAAAATTTTAGAATTTTCCATTTAGAAATAAATAAATTTTTTCCTTACACATTAGCAATGAATTGGAAATTTCACACCTTTATGTGAATTGATGTAATACTATCAATTCATATAAAGGTGTGAAATTTCAAATTCACAGGAACTTGTAAATGAGGAGATAGTACTCAAAACCAATAACTAAACAATTTTTAATATCAAAGGGAAACATAAATGATAATTGACCTGTTCACATGTTTTGCTTATGTAGATCTTGACAGATTTATTATTTTACCTGCAGTGGTAGTTTCAAGGGCAGTGATAGGAATAAAATACCATATTTCATTGCAAAAAGAAATTCAATGGCAATTGATATTTTAAAATTTATTGATTCGAGGGCTTTTAAAATTTGGGGACCCCAAAAAGTGCAATATATACGAATCTGCAATATAACAAGGGACTATCTATGGATAGAAGGCATAACTATAACAGATCAAGATGGCTGTACGCACAATAATTTTAAGTGAAATTATTTTTATATTGGTTTTGGTGAGCATGGTTTTAGTGAAATGAATCTCATTAAGACACCAATACACAATAGACTAGATATTATAAATGTTAGCAATTTGATGAATATATCTATCAATGGTCCACCTCAAAGAGAATTTGATTTTATAAATTATTTCTGATTTTAAATATGTTTAAATAGTCATAAAATAATGTCTACAATAATTTATTATTTGTTTATTCTACATTTAATTATATATAACAAAATTATCCAAGATTACAATAAAATACTATTAAAATTAACAACAAAAATAAATATAATAAAAATTATATAATAACAAGTAATATACACTGAAGAGCCATTACATTATGACCACCTCTCATCTAGAGTAAGCTCGCCCTGAGACAAAACAATGGTTCTTGTTTGGCTCATACTGACATATATAAACATCCAATGAACTGTGTTTCCAAATGTAAATTTTTCAGCTGCGTCTTGGGAAAAGCAGCAGATTTATCAGACTTTGATAAAGGACAAATTGTTATGGCTTAGGCGCCTGGGAACATCAATCTGAGAAATCGCTCAATTGGTAAACTGTTCATGTGCAGTTGTCGTCAGTACTTATCGAAAGTGATGCGTGGATGGAGAAATGAGAAGTCGATGGCCAGCTGTATGCTGTCCACAGCACATTGATTCCAGAGTGGAGCGGAGATTATTATACATTGTTCGCCACGACCAAAAGGCTACAGTGGCCCAAATCACCAGCAGCTACAACAGTGGTGACCAAGACAATGTATCTCAGCACACAGTGCAGCGTACCCTTTTGCATATAGGCCTGCGTAGCCGCTGGCCCAGACGAGTTCCTGCACGTACAGCACATCATTGACAACAGCACCTGTAATGGGCCAGGGAGCATTGCAATTGGACCTTAGAGGAATGGAAGAAAGTTGTCTGGTTTGACAAGTCACATTTTCTGGTCCATCACGTTAATGGTCGAGTGCAGATACATGGATTTCCAAAGGAGACCATGGCAGCCGGATGCACAGTTGGATGGATACAAGCCAGTGGAGGTGGTATTATGTGTGGGCAATCTTTTCATGGAACACATTGGGACCCATCATTCCCATAAAACAATCCCTGATGGCTGTGCACTATGTGAAAATCATTGCCGACCAGGTTCGCCACTTCATGGCAACAATGTTCCTGATGGGTGATGGCCTGTATCAACAGGATAATGCACCATGTCATAAGGCCCAAATTGTCATGGAGTAGTTCAAGGAACATTCCAGTGAATTTCAAGTCCTTTCTTGGCCTCCGAATTCACCTGATATCAATCCAATTGACCAATCCAATCCAATCAATCCAACATTTTGCTGTTCCACCTGGAAAACCAAATTCATGCTGTACACAACCACCTCACAATGTTCAGGAACTGGAGGACCATCTGGTGAGTACCTGGTACCAAATTCCTCAGACTACCTACCAGCACCTTGTTGAGTCAATGCCTCATTGCGTGTTGGCAGTTTTGGAGGTGAAAGGTGGTTCCACATTGTATTAAATATTAAACAGGTGGTCATTAGGGTTTCTGAAACGGGATTCCGGGATCCCTGGATCCCGGTTGTTTTTTTAACCCGGGAAATATCTTGGGAAATTTTTCTTATCCCGGGAAATCCCGCAAATTTCTTAAAAATTCACTTTTTTTCTTATTTTGTGTTAAGGTTGAGGAGTTTTGCAAATAGAAAGCATAATTAACTCATTCACTGCCAGAATACATTTGTATTTATTAATTTTAAACCTACCTATTAGTTTTTTTAAATTTTTGCTCGTTATAGCATGTCACAAATGGTCAATAATCAATATATAGCTTATTTGTGGCATGACTATAAAAATTCTTTACTTGTCGGAACCTGTAATATCTGGAATAATTGTGCTTACGCTGTCTTGAGTTTTAACCATGCCCAGTAGCTTCAATAAATGCCTGACGCCAGATTGTGCAAATTGGGCAAGGATACAAACGAGTACAAAGTCTGCAAGTATGAAGTTTTTCTTCATAAACCTGATTATTAAAGCCAAATGAATTGCCGAATTATCGAGCTCTAAGCTTGATGCCGCTATTAAAGCAGCCAAGGTAGACAAATCAAGAATACTAGAGAGCGAAAGAAGTACTACAATCTCGAAAACGAACTCGAAAGCTTCCAGGCTACAGGTGAAAAAACACATAATATCTGTCTTCTCTTAAATGCATTAAACACTATTCCAATCACATCAATTGAATCGGAAAGGGCATTCTCGGTGGCAAGACTTTTCATTACTAAAATAAGAATTAGAGTGAGTGATCGGAGTATTGATCATCTTTGCTTTTTAAAATCTTATAAAAGTTTGCAATATTTTGTATTATATTTTATTTAAAAAACGAAAATTACCTTTTAAATTAGAAGTTCATTTTTTTTAATTTTTAACTCAATTCAAAACATTTTTTTTGTTGTTGTTGTATGCAGTTTCCAGCAAACTTTAATTAATTTTTTTCTATTTGTGAAAATTTCTACGTTATTTAAAGGTAATTTTTATTATAGGCCTATAGATCTTACACAGCATTATTAATATGATTTTGGAGGTTACAAAACTTTAAAATTACTTTAAAAAATGGAAAATAATTATATCATTTGATTTCAAGATCTTTTGTATACCTTAAAAATAATTAATTCTATCCCGGGATCCCAGGAAACAGTTCACTTTTATCCCGGGATCCCGGGACAAGCAAAATACCGGGAAATGAGAAACCCTAGTGGTCATAATGTAATGGATCTTCGGTGTATTATATTGTTGTTATATAATTTTTATTATATATATAAAAGGATGGCAAAATGATGTAATAATATAAGGACCACACATTATGTAAAAATTGTTGGCAGAAAATGTTTGTATTTTGTAAAGTTGTGATGAAGGTGATGTTCAACAGGAGGCATGTAATCGAAAAAAAAAAGATCTATGAGATAGTGATAATTGATAAAAGGAGTATTCAGACATGATAGTGATCAAGTTTTTCTCAAAGGAACTTTCAGTTTGAGCCAATAATTGGGTATTATGCCATCAATCATATTTTAGCTTATAAATATTTTATTTTAAAGTATTTGACCCTTTCTTTGAAAGCAGGTAATCCCAGTCTCACTCTTGTGACTTTGGCATTATTAGTATATGGTAGATGGCAAAATTTGTTCAGAAGGAAATATACTTTGTTTATTTCATTAATTTTGTTTTTTGTTTAGTACAGAGGGGCAGTTATAGTCCAGATTGATAAGCAGTAGATTGAAAATTTGTAAAAAAAAATTGACCTTAGTACAGTTTTTGAGGAAATCGGCATACAAAAATGCCATAAAATTCACTGGCAGATTACAGTAGATTTAGCAATTTTTTATATATGACCTTTAAAGGTCAATTTATCAAAAATGACCCCCAAATCACTATATGAATTTACATAATTTAAGACATGATTATAGGTATAAACATGAGTAAGAGGAGGCTCTCTAATCAGAGAAAAGCACATCACAACAGTTTTACAAATGTTAATTCGTAAAACTGTTATGATGTTCTTTTCTCTGATAGTAATTTAGATTTGCTTTACTAAAAGCTAAAGATAAAATTTTGAGATTGGTTTGGATGTAAAACGTTAGGGTCATAATTTAAGAGTTTTGTATCATCAGCATAAGCTATAACTCTAGATTTAATATTATTAAATAGGTTATTAATATATGCAGAGAAAAATAATCCACTCAAAATTGATCCTTGTTTAAAATTGAATTCTACATTTTTTTTTTTTTAAATTTACATCACCAAAAATAAAGATTTTGTTTTATTGTTTAATGTGTTGTTTGGTGAGAGAAAACATGGACAGTTTAAATTAATATTTTGCTTTAATTTTCTGCTGTTGCATTTCCTTTTTATTTAATTTAAATAAAGATTAAAAAATTTTACTTCAAAAATTTGATTTATTCTAGATTTTTGAATCAGTTAGTGGAACTTTATTGCAAGCATCAGATCTGTCTTCAATGAGTGAATTAGATTTGTCAAATGTATATAATATATTGGCATCTTACAGACATAAATTTAATTCATTAACACATTGAGATAATTTCCAATAAATTTTGTACAAAATTAAAAATTTACTGCATTTGTAGAAGAGAAAAATTAAAAAATCCTATTGTTTTTTCTTCATATACATGTATAAAGAATGTAAGATAAGAAGAATACAAATGTGTGTGTGTGTGTGTGTGTGTGTGTAGAAAGAATTGTATACTTTTGGATTGAAAGTATTACACAGTAGTCATATCACTAAACTGGTTTCAATCTGTCTTGAATATATTAAATGCATGAAATTTCCCCATCGAGCGTGATGGAATACTTTTTATGAGAAAGTAGAGATTGAAGAATTGACAAGACTAGAGATTTTAAGAGTTTCTAATATTTCTACAAATAAAGGCTCTTGACAAACCATTTTTACTGTGTTGCTCAAGTCAGACTTACTGGTCTTTAGGGGTCTCAGTTGTTGTTCTTTTAGATCTAGTATTTGTCTGACCAATTTTACTTTTATGCTTTCTCCTAGGAATTTTTTTGACAAAGTAGTGAGGCCTTTTAATTCCATGTTGATAAAACAAAGATGAATTGAATGTTCACTTTCTAAATAATGGGCTAGTTAGATTGTTACTTTCGATTTGGATAATAGAATGTCACATAGTCACAATGGAAAGATTTTTAAGAAAATTGTTACAGAAACGAAATTGTTATGCAGTTATCTTTTAAAGTTTAAATTTTAAATTTAATGAAGTAAGTTTAAAATACACCATTTGCCAAAATATTTTAAAATACAACTTAAGGGAAATTTTCTTGTCAAGCCTGAACTAAATGAGGTCACTGATATCACTGCAATGTAAGTGTGATTACCAATCTGAAATCTATAAAATATTTATTTTATAGCTAATATCTCTGCAAAATAAGTAGTCTATACTTTCTGTCAGAACATAAAACAAATATAACCGAAATTTTATCACACACACTACAGCTTTTATGTTGTTAATATTTGTTAATATAGTTACCAAATATTTACAACATAAAAGAATTAGAATTAGAATGGTTTTGAATTAGAAATTACAGTGGGTGATTGGTTAACAAACAGTTCAAATTGCAAACAAATCAGACAACAAACACTTTCGTAAAAGATTTTTATGTTCGGACAATGAACACCTCACAGAACAAACACAAAAAGAAGCAACATAAAATAATGAATACTAATTGGTTTTCCCTTGTCTCCAGGTGACAATTCAAAACCTTTCAGAGCACGGGTGATTTTGACGTCAATGTTCAACTCGATACCAATCGGATAGTACTCCTTCAAACTTGAAACGCTTCCTTATAATTTCACTGTTTTTGTTTACATTTCTAACAAATAATTTTTTATAATCTTTGTGAGACTGTTGAGCACTTGTTAGGTTTTGTATCGGTTTTTGTTTTCAAAAGGTGAGAGTTTAACTGTCCTATTGGATATTCGTTAACATTTTAACACCAAAATTTTAAATTTCATTCAGGCCTCACATTTACATAATTCTTTTGTGCACTAGTTGATTTCTGTACTCTGAATTTTTGTGAGTGCTTTTCTGAATTTTTTATTTCAAAAAGAAATTGATAATTTTATGGAGCCTAAAAAGAGTGGAGTGTCAAGAATCGTGCTCACGTAGAAACCAAGTAAGAGATAATAGCCAATGAGGTGGAGAGTAGGCACAACATGTCTGATGTTGCTAGGCAGTATGGCTTGACCAGGTCTACAATAGGCACAATCTTAGGTAAGAAAGATATAATCTAGAAGACTTGTGCAGCTAAAGGAGTGACAAAAATCACATCTGAGAAACAAAGATGTGCCATCCATGAAAAAATGGAGAGATTGCTTTTAATTTGGATAAAAAAAAGGGGGGGAATTAAAAGAGATATAACTAGTATGACTATCATTTAAGAGAAATTTTTGAAGAACTGAAGAAACAAAAGCCACATGAAGAGATAGAATTTAAGGCTACCACTGGGTGGTTTGCAAAGTTTAGAAGATCTGGCATTAAACATGTGGTAATTCATGGTGAGTGTGCTAGTGCAGATAAAGAAGCTGAAGAAAAATCCTGAAGAAGAGAGAAAAGCAATCGACATTGGACAGATTCTTTAACCCGCACAAATGGAAAAAAAGAACATGACTGATAAAAATGCAAGACTGTGTATATATGTGTATATTTTTATTATTACATATAAATAAACATAGTAAGAAAGTATATAATTTTTTATTTAGGTTTTGGGGTCTCCAGAACAAAATCAAATTACCATAAAAATCTATGGTAAATCGATAATCGGTTAATGAACAATTTGGGTAGCGAACACAATCTTGGAATGGATTTTGTGTTTATTAACCAATCACCCAGTGTGCATACATTTACACAAGCGAAATTGAAATTGATAAGTCCTATAATTGCAATTTAACTTAACTTTTTATTTTATCATTGATTTTATTAACTTAATTTTATAATATATCTTTTTATATTTGAATGTATTATAATTCATAAAAGAAATTTAATATTTATTGTTTAGGTGGATGATTTATTAGCAATTGAAGAACAAATAGATGTGGATGTTCGATCATTAGAAACATGCAGTTACAGCACAAATGTATTTACTGACATTTTAAATAAGATTCAGAAGGCAGTAGATGATTTAAGCTTGCATCAATATTCAAATCTGAATTTATGGGTTGGAAAACTAGATGAAGAGGTAAGAATTAGTCAACATTTTTTATGAAATAATTATTGTTTTTTTATTATGAACTGCCAATTTAACTTTAGCTAAAATTCAGTCTTATTTAAAAGCATTTTTATTTATTGTCAAATTGTTGTAATTGTTAAAACATATTTTTAATCTTACTTCTTTAAAAATTTTTAAAAGTTTTTTATGTTTGAAAAATTCTTATAATAATAACTGAAAATGAATACATTGAGTATTTTGAACTCTTATTAAGATAAAATGTTTTTAAATTTTTGTATTTGATTAAGATCAGGCTTCTTTTCTGAGAATGAATTGAAGTTAGAAAGAAATTTTATAAAAATGAGTTTTTATTAATCTAAGTCTGTAGTGTTTAATTTATTTAGATAAAATTTCATTTTGCTTATTTTACTATAAACATTTAAAATTATTTTTGATGTAACACTCATGATTGCAAAATATTTGTCATGACATGAACAACCTTATTTATGAAATAATGAAAATGTTTGTTATTAATTTTTAATCTAATCTAATTTGATATATTGTATTATACAATTTTATTCCAAAATTACAACTAACACTTAATTGTATTTTTGATCCTGCAGTGTGAAATTCAATGCTAATACAGTATTCATATTGTTAAATGAATACTGTATTAAATTTGTTTTATATTTTATATATATTAATTATTTGTATATGTAAAGCCAATCACTAATAAGTCTGTATTAAAGGAAACTAGTCATCTTCAATGTTGAAGCAAATTTGCCTGCAGTTGAATGAGTGATTATAGGTTTTCCACTAGTGGACTCAAGGAAGTCCTTTTGACAAGAGCATATTCAACTTGTTAGATATTTTCATTCTTTGATTAGCAATGCTCCTCTTTAGTCCTCTTTGTGGCAATCATTAATAGTAGCAAAAAGAAGCAGGCATGTAGACATGTGAACATAAAAACTAGTTTGCTTTTATGTTCACATAAAAACCACAATGAGCCTGACACAAAGTTTTTATATTTTTGAACAACCAAAATTAAAATTTAATCAGCATAAAGTACTAAATTCCTATTGTAATCATATTGATTAACCTGAATACATTGGAAATCATTTTCTGAGTTCATATGTAAATAATGAAAAAATTAGAAAATTTAGGGAGTATGGTAAAAAAGAAACAACAACTCTTGCAGAAGGAAACAACTTTATTTAACCAATTTATCAAGTTATCTGTCAATCTTGAATTCCATCTCAATTTCATTAAAGATTAATACTAAGCAGAGATCTGGTGGAAAACTTTGTTTCTTAATAAAGCAAACTATTGTGTACAGGCACAATGAAGTGACGTTTTTCTCAACACTGGGCTAGTTGAATCTTTTATTTAGTTAGAACGTTTTTTCCATACATCAACGTTTCGGGCATCAGCCCCTCTTCAGCTAACTAAATATATATAAAAATATTTTACAGGACACAAATAAAAACCAAAAAACTCACATAAATTCTTTGTAAACCATACCTCACTTCAGCATGGACACTGCACATACAGCAGAAATCAGACTACACTTAGGTTTTTTAACATTTTCAATATCAATTTTTTATCACAATTTTAACTTTACAGGTTAAAAACAAAACCTTTTCTACATTTTATTACATAAACAAGATAAACTCTGCAGATTTTAAAAAACTAAAACTTACAAATTTCAAAAGTCTTTTTTTGCCACCTCGTCGACCAATCCGACAATTTGCATATAGCACTATGTGCTGTAAGTTACACTAGTTAACAAATTAATCGACAAACATTTGAAAATCCTTAAGGAAATTACAAAAATTTTTAAATTTTTTTATACAATAAATCACTATTTGTCTTAAAGTTTACTCTGTATATTTTCTTTTTATCTAATTTACATATGATGTTAATACAGAACATTGTTTCATTAAATAATTCGTTTTTTACCATTCTATTATTATAAATTGTAATAATCTAGTACATTTCATTATAATATTTTCAACCAATTGTTATGAATTTTAACACTTAAGTTTTTATTTATACAACCTTGGTTTTTGTTTCGTAATATTTCCACACTTTCTTTAAATTTTCTATCATAAATCCGTTTTTCTTTATGTAAAATTTGTATATTTGATTGATTTATATTACAATTACATTGTAATATAAATCAATCATTGTGCCTGTACACAATAAGCAAATACAACACGGTTTCGACAACATCAACAAAAGCAAACTATTTAAAATTTAAGGCAGTGATTAAAGATCTATATACGGGAGTGTGTGTAATATGTAAAAGAATCTTCAAGGATATTTTTTATAACACTTATTTTAGAAAATTTGACTGATTGTAAGTCTTTGCTTCTTAAATATTCTAATTTGGTTATGTTTTATTTCACTATTTTTTTTACATAATAGTTCTATAACATCATTTGGTCATTAATCAGACTATTATTTTGAGTGGCAACTTTTAAGTTATTGTGAGAACTGAGGGGGCACAGAGCTGCGAACTCTTTTGACCCCACTTACCTGCAAAGGGGTTGGTAGAACCTGTTCACTGTGTCAATGGATGGCTAGGAGGGCTATAAATTGAGTGGGAGTATGCGTGTGTAAGCCTATAAGGTGTTCATTCTCTGAAGAAATAGACAGGTTTAAAATAAACACAATCACAGTTTAATATTTCTCTACACTAAGATACATAGAGTTACAAGTATGGCTAAATATGGGATTATATGCATTATAAGCTACAAGGATATAACCTGCACGACAAACCTTTTTTAGGCAGCCTAATACGCGGGTCAGTTAAATCTAGACACGGAGAGAGAGTTTACACATATCTAACAAATACCTCAGAGTTGACACTTCCAAGATCCTAGATTCTTCTATTTGATGTTGGTTGAACAATCAATGATCTAAGGCTAAGCATCTGGACGGAGGTGAATCCGGCGATTTAGGTAAGAACTCCAGCCGCCCGCTGGAGTTCTATGCATTCTACTGTTTGCCTGCTGTTGTCCATGGCTGGAAGTTTCCTTCTGGCAATCACTCTCAGCGGTCCTTCAATATGGTAGATGAGGAAAGGTCTGAATAGAGTTACCAGCTTGGAAACTTCTTTATGACGATTGCGCCAGAAGCTTCATTTCGACAATTGCCCTGAGGTGCGGGTGCGACCCCTTATTTTACTTGTCCCACAGGGAGAACTTTCAGGGAATTTTTTCTGCAATGCAGTCCAAGTTCGATTTGCATCCGGGTGTTGTTTATGTTAATTGTCAGAAATTGAATGTTTTGACAAATTTATTACCTCTTTCTAACCGGTATTGTTACTCATTTTACCTCATAAAGTTGATAACATCTGTCAAACATACTAAATTAATTGCCAGTAGTGATTAAGGTCACAGTTTGGGTTACAACCTTAGTAATAACTCTTAAATTGGAGAGATATTTGATCGGTCTTATCTAATAAGAAATCAGGAGAAATAGGATGTGTGAGAGTTTTTCACTTGGTTATTTTTTCTCTACTCGACCTTTGGCTCAATCTTTTCATCATCATATTAACATATAACTAAATAATTTAATTATTAAATTATTTCCTTCAAATCTCACATTATTTATAATTTCTTGTATCCAGCATAAATACTTTTCTCAAGTATGTTAAATAATAATTTTGATTTACAGTATTGTTTATATTTAGGATAAATTATGAAATTTTGATGATGATGATGGTTTAATATGTGAATAAAGACAATTAATTTTAAAACACTTTATAATTATCTTCAAACATAGGTTGAGAAAAAGCTTTCATGTCGTTTGGAAGCTGGTATAAAAGCATGGACCAAAGCATTAGAAGGAAAAAAGGATGAAGTAGATGTATGCATGGATACTGATGGACCAGCTACTGTAGCTCACAAACCTGGTGGTGACCCTCAAATACCAGTTTTAGTGCATGAAGTGAGAATTACAAACCAAGTCATGTATGTCAGTCCCAGTGTGGAAGAAGCACGATTTAATATTATGCAGCAGTTATTTGCATGGGAAAATGTTGTTCTTCTCCAAACTCGCATTCAAAGTTCTCGTTATCAGGTTTGTATTCACTTTGTCTTTAAGATACATGGTGATATGAAGATATATCATCATATGTAATGTTATAATTTTCAAAAGATGTGAGATTTTAACTACTAAGAGATTTTTTTTATATATACCATATTTTCATGCCTATAACCCACTGGTTATCTGTGTTTGAAAAACGCTTTGAAATGATGTGGGTTATACAATGGAATGGGTTCTGTTAATTTTAAATTGCAATTACAAACTTGCATGTATTGAGTAATTGCTGCTCTCTAGGCATGAGTATATAATGGGTTGGATTATGCAAAAATTTATTTTTGTTTTAGCAATTTTCTGTTGCTTATATGCATGAAAATAAGTTACAGTACTTTATAACATGTATAAGTAGTTAACATCATTAATCATCTTAAATGAAATAGGTAATTTCCAGTTGTGTTTGATTGACACAACTGAAAATTATTTAGGAAACTTCTTTTAGATTAAAAGTTTTGTTTCATTTATTAGTATTATCTATACTTTTTGCTACAGGATTATTTATTGTTACCATGTTTCCCCGAAAATAAGACATCCGCAGAAAATAAGACCTAGCACAGATTTTGCTGAATTGCGAAATACAAGGTCTGTTCAAAAAGTATCGGACCTTTGGTCGGCAAAAATAAATTTATTGACTTTGAGGTACAAAACCCTAATCCCCTTCAAAGTAGTCTCCTTGGTAATGTATACACTTCTCCCAGCGTTCCTGCCATTGCTGGAAACACTGCTGGAACGCATCTTTTGGAATGGT